AWAAAAWRWWTKTWWAAARYCATACGTACCAATTGAGCCGGTGCTCTGAAAAGATAGCTAAARGGGTAGTGTAGCAGGTTGACGCAGGAAGATGCATACAAATCTGCGTATCTCATCACTTGGCTGGCAAAAAATGTCTGTCTTGAGCCTGTCCAGGAAACGAWGTATTGATTTAAATAAACATTTAATGATGCAATGCGGAYTTACTTTTTAGCTTGCGGTGGAWTTCTATTRGTTTATATATTAGATAGCTCATKGTTTTTAATTGTTATATGAAGTTTTACTAAATYATGTGAGAAAATCAAATAGAAAACAGCAAGTGCTCTAGGATATTGTGTTCAGCTTTAAAATTGAAAAATGGAGACTGAATTTCATTTATAAATATATTCTTTTATAGTGCTGTATGAGCTTGATACTAGTCAGTAGCCTGCAGGTATGTAGTAGTATGGCAGTTGTTGCCTCAACTAGTCCCCTTCCCTCACAGCTGCTACACAGGACACAGGCAGCCCAAGCAGCACAGGATAGCTAGTCAGTTTAGGATAATTTCAATGTAATTTTTTTGCCATTTTACAAATTACTTCAGTGTCAAGTGAGAATCTAGAAATCTTTTCATTCTCAGAAAGAAAGTATTAAAAGAACATTCAACCATTTTAATACAAAGTCTTTAATCATATCATAAAKCCAAGCTGTCAAACAAGAGAGTATCGATTACATTTTTTTATTGTATCTTTGTCTGAGTTCYCTTGCTTCAGCTCTTGTTAAAAATTCAACCAAATCCTCYGGCTGTCCYTTCCCATGATCCTCCTTGTAYGAGAAATCCAAGATATCGCTCAAGCCTAACAATGKCATAGAGGCAGCCATGTCTTCAGTAGCAAGCTTAGTATGAATCAATGGATTGTGCTCACCACAGCCACGATACACTGGTGGAAATAGTTCCGCAGTGTGTCGATCCAAATCAAAACCTTGCGGCAACATGTGCTTATGAATAAMATGACAATTTTCAGTCATYTCTGATCTACGATGTATGAGAAAGCTYGGAGTATTCAAAATRAACTGAAGTACACTTTTTTGGGCCATGCCAAGCTGTTCTTGGATGAACTGAATATGATTACGAAGATCAAAAGCTCTCAAYACAATCATAGGWGTACATGGRTGAAATATAAGACTTCGTCTTTCCTCATTGTCCATATTGCCTCTCACTACCCCCCTTAGGTAACTCACTTGATTTCCCTCAGTCTTTCCAGGGTCATAATCAAGYACAAGAACTGGGGGACTTTGTTCAATAAGCTTTCTCTTCTGCCTGCTGGTTATTCCAATTGGTTTTAGGAAAGCAAGTCTCTGTAATAACAGCTCAGTTCKGAGATAYAACACTTGTGGCTGTCTAGTTCGCACGTGAACAACGTCCAATTCCTCGTAATTGGTTTTAAGGACCTCTACACAAGGTTTTGTGATGTTTGATTCTTCAAAACACTSGAATCGACCAAGTTTCAGCTTTTTTAAATATTTTTCGATTTCGGTACTGCTGGAGTAGATGGAACGCGCMGGTAAACTCAAGCATTTCGCTGTCCTTCGTGTAAACGATAAACCTGCCTTTACAACGCTAAATATCCTCGGATTTGGAAGGCAAAGCATTCTTTAGACTTTGAGTAGCTTCTTTCTAGTCACTCAGCTCAGCAAATAGCAATTCCAATCGCAAATAAAAGCGAAATTATCAACTTTTCTGTCGAATTTTTACCACGTTGTGAATTTCAAAATGGCCGACTAAAACTAGACCCACGCTCCCACGGTTAAAGCACTGCCCCAGAGAGTTCTGGGTAATTACACAGGGAAACCACCAATTCCTCAATAAATTTTAATACTATTTTTTTGTAAGCAAATGTCACTTACCACTCCTCAGAAGGCTTCCCATATGTCCGTAACATGACTCCATTGCGTGTGTGGCATCCTAAAAAGTTTAGATGAATATATACCTCAAAATGGTTAAATTCAAAAATGTGACAGAAAGGTAACATGAAATTCACTCTCAGTTCAATTCCTTTTCACTCGTTTCATTTCAAAGTAATAATGTCAAATTATTATATGGGTAATACTGATATCAATAAACAAATATACCTTTATTGATTTCTTGATTTGGCTRATATCTGGACCCTCAGTTGTGTTGGAATCCAAATTTCTGTGAAAGAAAAAAATGGAAAGTTATTGCTCCGTTTAAATATCAAATCCTTTTGACTTAACATCAAAACACATGTGAATAAACAACAGATAGCAAGAAACAAAGGTACATATATACCAAAAAACAAAACAAAACAAACAGAAAACATAAATAATTTACTAAAAATTGAATGAGATGAATGTGAATAATATTGCAGTCTTATACATACTTATAAGTTTCCGCTAAGGCAATATCCAAATCTCTCAAATTGCTGAACACATCTGAAAATAAACAAATTCAGAGAATTAATGTAGCTTTATTATGCTTTGGCTCTCCTATGCTGTAATTAGTGTACTTCAAAATTCCTTGATTTACCTTGTCTTGATTGCCATACTTCTAATTCCTGTGTAAGTTCTGGTATGACAAGATAAGTTCTGAAAGAAAAAAATAATGGTGTTGTTACTGTTACTGCACACAGTGGTGCATACAAGGCCTGAAGTGTTGATGGTGTTGTTAGATGGTGTTAAAATCTTATATGATTGTCACTCTATAAATTTTTGATTGGTGAATATCTTTACCTCCATCCCTGTTGCTTTTTTGATTTAAGAATATCACCAAATATGTGATCTCCAATGTACAAAACATCCTAAAATAAGCAAAATGGAGGATTCAGTGAGGGATATATTGTTCTCCTAGTATGCAATGAAAAAGTGCATTAATGGAATGGTACTGTATCTGAGGTGGATTTAGTGGAAATGAAGGGGTCACAGCTCAACTGCTGAATAGTAAATTGCAAAAATCCTCTACAGTGCTGGAAGTCACATTTCTCCGGATTTCAATTTCTGCCTGCCTTCTCATGTCGATGGATGCAGGACTTTGTCTTTAGGAGTCCCTTTTTGTAAATCGCTGGACTGCATGGCCTATATTACACTGATTGCATGATGTACAGTAAGTGGTCTAACATACCTTTCCTTGTGCTCCAACAAGTTGACAAAAAACATCACTTGATCCTGAAAAAATGGGAATGAAAGGAGTGAAGAAACAAATAAATGAATTTTTCAAGAGACAAATGAATATTAATAATCAATACTTTAATCAAAATCAGAATCAAGAGGTTATACTGCATATATTTTTTTCAAGCTTTTGTTAAACACTAGTATCATAGTTCATAGTTTACATAATACACAATCTTAACTCACCTCCTGAATAAATATGACCTTGCTTTAGTGCTCCRGCATATCGTCCAATGCTCAGGGTTCCAGTTTCCTAGAGATAAGTATCCTAGTATATAAATTATATCAAATAAACCATATAAAGTTCATGAAAGTACAGTCAATAATTACCACATCAACTTGTCGTAAAGCAGTTCCTGTTGAAAGAAAAGTACTCTTGTTACGACCATTTGGCTGCAAAATTTATTCAGTATATACCAGGGAAGTAGCCAGATGGAAACTTCAACTGAAGTTAGTCTCCATGTTTCCCTGCACTATCTTGAAAGGAAGCTGTAGCTTTGCAGGGAGACCAACATTGTTTATGCCAAGATAGAAACCTTTTTTTACGTCAAGAGACAATAATTATTCACTGGTACCCATCACTGAATGTTCAATGGTTGTCTAGCTTTGATGGAAAACACAGCTAACTTTCAAGATGGCAGTGTGAATCTTGGGGACTTCACATCACGAGGTGCTTGTTTGGCTTGTTAACACCTGAAAGTATGGTCATTCTGAGGACTGAGGCAACTTCCTCAGACAAGCTCTCCTAATGAAGTATAAACAATGTTTACCTTTGTCAAAAAATAAAGGCTTCCTTGCATCCACTACAACRTAGTCAAAGTAGGATGTCCAGTGCCTTTTATTTGCCTACAATGACATAAACAAAAACTTTAACAAACAGTTTAGCTAGGCATTTTTCAATGAAAAGCACACCCCCTTCATTCCCTGAAGGAATTTAAATTTTGAGAATATCAAAGTCAAGAGCTTGTGGAGACAAAAAAAGCCTCAGTCTGATAAACATATCAATCATATGAAGTCCCATCTATTGCTCCCAAGGATTGACAACTTTTTAAAAAGTGTTTGACTTCAACATTGCTATTGATTGATCACTATTCAATGATTTTGAAAAAATGGTAGGGGACATTTCCCAACCAGTCAGAGTTGATGGAGCTTTTTGCTGTAACTTTATATATATATTCCATCTTGCAAGTCCGAGAGAACATGAATTTTATTATACAACATACCTGATCATTTTGATCAAGAAGGTATTCCATTATTTTCTGAAATAAAATAGTGGAAAATTTGAGTTGAATACTTTAATCAATGTTTTTTATTGAAGGGTTGAAATATATATATATCACAGATTGGGCACATATCCAACCAGTCAAAATCTATGACATGCATAATCAGTTCAGATAAAAAACAAAACAAAACAAAAAACAAACAAAAAAACAACATTACTTACATCTGTATATGAATAACCACTGTTTGTGAGGATAAAGCATTTTCTGTTACAATGTCGCATTCTGTGATAAAAACAGTAAATTTAATCATGCAAGAAACACAAAGTAGTGCACACAATAAGTACTGGGTCCAGTTATACCAGGGAAGAATAAAGTAATCCTCCTGCTTAATAAGTTATCTGCATGATAAGGGTTTATCTGATACATGTAGCACTATTTGCCTTTCTCACAACTGGCCCCTAAAGGACAATATCCATTTGCACAAAATATATATAATATCTGTGTTTAAACCTACCTGTCAAGAAGCTTTGGAAGAAGAGGCTGAAAAAAAAAGAATAATACTGTCATTGGTAGGAYGATTTATTTTATAAATTACAATATATTCACAGTTGTAAATAGTGGCAAGTTTAAAATCATTGTTAGCTGCCAGTGGCTAACTTATTTGCAATTTCAATGTTAATACAGTGGCAAAATCTGCAGCTACTTTTGCTAGAACAGCTTGATATGATTTATTTTCTACTTAAAATGTTATATATCATATTCCAGAAGATGGTACCTACATCTTTAATAACATAAGTGTCCAGGTTTTCCACTGTAACTTTTTTAAGTGTTCCCTGGAAAAGAAAGTTGAAAGATTGAATGCACATGCGGATGTTTTCAACCACTGTCTTATTAACGTGAGAGATTTATAGATTACAGTCATGAAGCTTTCTCTTTGGAGATTAGCCCCTGTAAAAGGCTGGTAATTTGACTGACAGTGTACCTTAATATGAACCCAGTCAACTGCAGCTCTAACATCTTGATGGATRCTTTCATATGTCAAGAGAATATGATCTTTGCTTTCAACTCCATTGCCTGTCCTGATAAAACAGACACCAGGATGATATCATGATATCATGATAATTATTATAATTATATTAATTTTGCAATATGTACAGTGTATCATTAATAATAACTATAATTCCACATTCTTTCAGTTACCTTGTGTAATCGAGGTGATTGTCAAAATAATCAACTAACGCTGCTAAAAGGTGTGTTTCTGTAAAAGAACATAGTAAAGAACGTCATCAATCATTATTCTATATTAAATAATATTTTCATTGCTGTTTCTTAGTATAGTGTTTATAACCCTTTTGATGACGTTAGCTCTATTTTTACATCAATGTTAGGGTGGTTTGTTGTACAATTACCTGGGAGATTGAATAATGTGTTGAGAATAAAATATCTTGGACTGTCAGCCTGAAAAAAAAGCAAGACATTATTTATTCATTGATAAAACTACTCAAAATGTAAGCTTTTGCTACAATATTTACATCACATGTTTTCAGGGTTCTWAATASTAGCTTCTGCCTGGCAAAAACKTATTRCTTAGCTAATCACCAGTTGTTTGATTGTTCTGTTTCTTGCTTTCTGAGATAACTGTGTTTTGGTAGTACTTACTTGGACAAACTTGTTTGGATAAAACTCCCTTATTTTAATACTGAAAAGATAAAATGGATATTTGATATTATAACTTACAATTACAATAAATTGTCATGGTAATAAGAGTAAACAATTGGAGATAAAAATGAATTAACACAATAATTCCAATGTAAACCAAATAAAACAATAATTTTCAGCATACCTTGGTAAGAATTCAAAACCATGGTAGCAGCTTAGAATATTTCCATA